CTATACACAGTAATCACTGCCTCATCTTCCATTCATTAAAGAAAACGTTTTGGAACATTATAAAACTGCTTCAGGGTGCATAAAATCCAAACATGTTTTTTTTTCTGGCCATTGTCTTATACTATACCTCCATGCAGTAATTTCTTACCATTGATGGATTTCTTTTGCCGCTTGCTTCGCTTTGAACGCCTTGAATGCTTGAGCTGAACAGCGGCGTTGTTATTTCCATCAATGTTGCTTTCTGCATTGTCTTCTTCTGCATCATCTCTTCTTGCATTGACACTTTTAGCATCGTAACTTTCAGAGTCGTAACTTTCAGAGTCGTAACTTTCAGAGTCGTAGCTTTCTGAATCGTTACTTTCTGAATCGTCATTTTCTGCATCATCGCCAATTGCTTCATTATCTGTTGTTGTGTCGTTATTTCCTAATCCATTTGGATCTTGGTCTAGAAGCAGAGGAACAAGGACTAGAAAATCTCAGAGTTCACACCATGGAGAACAATTATATGCTATAGCCTTCACACACAACTGAGTGAGATATTGAATTTATAGATGTTGAATTATTAGTTAATATTTATTTATTTATTTGTTTATTTGGCGGGGACAATGCACAGTAATGAACACTTAAAACATTAAAATGTATCAAGCGTAACAGTGCCAGATTTAGCTTTAAGCTAATTTCCATCTGCAGTCCCTCACATAAAACATTTAAGAAAATTACATTTTACAAACCTAGCAAAAACAAAATACATGATATGTAAAAATAGCAAGAGCAGCATACACAAGTGTTCCCTGTTGGTTCTTACCAGATGCTTTTTGTTTCCTCGGGACCTTCTTCTTGCTCTTTGTACGTTTGATAGACCCAGGAGAGGACTCTTTATTTTCATCTGAATTAGGAGATAAACAGCTGATCATTTATTGCAAGATCATATAACTTGACCGTGAGATAAAAGGCCTCTTCTGAGTACGATACACTTTACCCAAGCACTAAAGGCCAAAAGTCTTCCTAAAGCTGACATCCAACCATCCAATCCATCCTTAAACTTCTCTTTTCTAAGTGTAGAAGCTGGTGAAAATGCATTGTTAGGCATAGATCGACTTTACCTGTTACCTTGTCAAAATCCGCTTGACCAGATCTGCTGTGTTTCTTTTTCTTGGGGCCATCTATCAGTTGGGTTCCTTCTTGTGTTTCACCCCTTGAAGCATCTAATGCTGCTTCTGCTGTATCTCTCCTTGACTTCTTTTTATTTTCCTTCCCTTTTTGCCCTTTCCTTTTTGTCTCAGACAGAGCACTGGTTGTTGTGGCATTATGCTCTTCAGTTCCTGCTCCGCTGTTCTGACCCAGTCCATTGACCGTAGTTATTTCACCGTCTCTTCCAGTTGTTAATATCCTTCCTTCTTTCAGGCCTCCTTCTCCGTGTTTTGCTTTCACGGCTGCTAAAATCTTCTCCATCTCCTCTTGGTTTTTAATTTGTTGCTCTCTGGCCACTTTCTCAAGGTCGATTGGTGCTCCTCCAGCCAAGGTGGTTTTACTGGCTCTCTCAGCAGATGCAGGGTCACCCTCAGCTTGGACGGTATGAAATAAAACATACAGGACATAATTATGGCAGCATGTAGGATCATTCATCAGTACACATTGACACATTGGATATTGGAGCAAAGGTGTTACCTTGAACAACCAGCCAGGCACTGCAGGACGTAATGCCGGCCACAGCTGAGTAGATGCCGCTGTCCTGCTGGCTGCAGTCTCTGATCAGCAGCCGGTGGATCAGTTTATGGTCCGACACGCTGATGTTGTATTTCTCTCCGTCCTGCAGGGCGCTGCCTTTGCCCATCCATGAGATCCTGGGCAGTGGGTGAGTCAGGACACACGCAAAGAGGGCATCTTCTCTTTCTTGAACTTTAAGCTCCTGAATTTTTATAACAAAGTCCACATTGCAAACTGTAAAAAAAAATAGAAGAAGAAAAGTCAGTGAACCAACCATCTATTCAGTCGGGTACACACAGCTTGTAAGCATTACCACGAGAGGTGCATAGACCCACCAAAATACATTTATTAAAACCGAGCCCAACTTTGCTCCCCTTTCCCATTGTTTATGGGATTCAGTAAGGAATGACATCGATAACTTTTCAATATTTTACTATTTATTTTTTGTATTTACTTACTGTTGGAGGAGCCTGTGACCTAAGCTTTTCATCTACATAACTACACTGTAGCTATTTACGTATGACAAATAAAAGCCTTGAACTTGTACCTTGAACCTTTACTCCTTTTAATACATAATGGGCCTTAACGTAACTTTAGATTTTCTTATATTGCATACACATGGACAGCAGTTTCTCTCCAAACCCTTTTCTTGAACCTACGTGTGTTCTCTGAATAGAGAAGCTTGACCTCTTCATCCACCAGATTCAGTCCTGTGTGGGGAAGCTTGACCTGTCCGTCCACGAGACTCAGTCCAGTGTTGGAAAGCTTGACCTGTCCGTCCACCAGACTCTGTCCAGTGTTGGAAAGCTTGACCTGTCCGTCCACCAGACTCTGTCCAGTGTTGGAAAGCTTGACCTGTCCGTCCACCAGACTCTGTCCTCTGTCTGAAAGGTAGACCTGTCCGTCCACCTGTTGGAGCCCTGTGCCCTTCTGCATTGGGCCGTTTGCATTAAAACCATTTGTCCTCTCAGCACCCTTAAGGCTGGGTTTCTCTGTAGCATCTTCCTTATAGAGAATCACGCCATCCTACCAAGAACACAGAGGAGTGACAGGACAAACATTATACACCTTTTTAATCCTGAATGTGGAAACTCATTAATTGAATTTGTTTGTTATTGTTTTGAATCAGTATTCTTAATTATTTTCATTTTGGATAAAATGATGGAGGGTAATTGTAATTCACTATATAGCATACAAGGGGTGACTACAGTCGGTGTAATACTCTGAAAGAGCTCCACAGGTTAAGAGATCTTGATCTGTCTCTACGCATCTTGAAGCTCAATTTTAAGCTTTAATGAAGCACATAATTATACCTGTTTGCTGATCCTGACAAGACAGGGTTGATTAAGATGGGAGTGAGGGAGTCAGAACTAATGAGAGGAAGTGAGCAGTAAAAATGCATGATACATTTTCACAAGTAAATATTTAAACTAAAGGCTGATTTTAACTGATAACTGCATTTGAAGTCATCACAACAATGTGTAATCACAACATCTCAGCATGAATATGAGTCTTCTGTGAAATTCTGACAACTCCATCACAGTTAGTTAGTAGCTGTACTGATGATTTAGCTGGAGATAATGTATCTTCTTTGACAGCAGTTTGCATACCTCACACTTGTTTTGCACCTTCTCCTTCCTCTCTTTCAGCTTCTTCAGAACCAAATGTACGTCTGTAACACCAAACTCATTACAGATGCGCTCGTAGTCGTTCCTGTCAGCTTTCAGCATCGTGTCCCAGAATCTTTCATCACTTTCCCCGTCTCCTTTTTCATCTACTTTGCTAAAGGTATCAGGCAAACGTAGACGACATATGTTTCTGCTATGCCACTAACAAGTGATAACATTTAAACATATGCAGAAATATGTTGTTTGATATTGGGATTTCTTACCTTTTCCGCAGCATTTTTCTGAAGTCTGATGGATTTTTGGAATCTGAAAGCATCAAAGTCAGCTCTGGTTTGTTAATCTTTAAAACTATATTGTGTACATTTAAGGTCAGATAAAGCTATGACAGGCTTACTGAACATTGGATAATTTTTCTTTCAATATTAGAAAACAATTAAAATGCCAGCTACAGGCTTTATGACTTCATGCAATCAAACCAATATTCACAATTATGTTTGGAAGTGTTTAGATTTAAGCTCTTACCATCAACCAGATTTAACGTGGTTGAGCAGACCGCTTTGCCATATTCGTTCGAAGCATTGCATTTGTATGTATCTGCTTCCTCACGGGACACTTTGAATATCTAGATATACAAATTGAAATGATCAGATGCAAATATTGAGCTTGCATGTCTTGATACAGATGTTCCTGTTCATACCATTTTACTGTGATATTCAATACCCTGTATGAGCAGTAACCACTTCAAGGATGTTTAAGTCACTCACCTCTAAAATATGCTCTCCAGTTAATTCATCATATCTACTCAGAAACTTTTTCTTGTCTGTAATAAGCCCTTTGGTTCTTCTCCATGACACCTCTGGTTTAGGATCCCCTGTCGCGACAATCTTGAAAACCGCTATACTCCCTGAAGAACACATGGAGAAACTATTATTTTACCATTTATGACTTTTAGTTTCAGTCAGAGAGACGATGCTATTTGTTTCTTTAATTATTAACAGTCATTTATTGTCATGCACCTCTTTAAAGTAACTGTGTAATTGCATAAATATATCAGTTGTAGTGCTCTGTTATTATGAAACCCACCTTCCTTGATATCCAATGGGGTTGGTTTGCTTTCGAAATCTGGCGTGCTTTTCCCCTCTGGTATTTCTGCTACATACTGTGTGATTATTACTCCGGGGGTCTTGGATTTTCTCCGGATGACAGCTAAACCAAGCCAGCAAAAATAATAAGAAACATTAAATAATGAGCATTGTAGCCTTCTTTACAACCTGACATTCAAAACAAAATCACAGTAGCTTTTGGTAGAGCTATACAGATTTATTTTCTGCCGCCAGCAGATGTCAGGAATGTCAAACAAATTCCCAGTGATGCTCCGTCTGTAACGGTTGTCCCTGCTTATTGATTTTAAAATGTAATGTCAGCGCTAATTAAATAAACTAAATGAGGCAAAAGTTGCTCTAAACCTCTGCTATACTGTATATGATGTGTACAAAAATAAGATTTAACACAATTTAATGTGGTATTTCTGCAAATGAACGCATATTTACAGTAAGGGTGCTCGTTTTAATTGTACAGGCACAAGGTTGCAACCTTTTACGACAGAGATGTAGTGTAGGAGCTATTTCTTGATGTGCTTTTAACATTATGTAAATTCTCATTCTATAAAGTAATTATGTCTAGATGTACACAAAAGGAGTGCAATCGGCAAATATTTTCACAATAAATTAATCTGCCAGTTATATCCTGATTGTTTGTAAGGTTTCAAAGAGGTCCAAAATCAAAGATAATTCTCTTACAATGTAAAAAATAAACCAGCAGATGATGACAATGGAGAAGTTAAAGTATGGCATGTTGCAAATAACAATGAATTATTCTCAAAATGATAATCAATTATATAAATAGTAGTTAATTATTATACTGTCAATGGATTAGAATGTGAACTAGTATGCTTATTGAATACACTGCTCACAGGGTTAAATAAATACAGTGCATGAAATCCTCACTGTGATCCTCTGGCACTGCAGCTGAACATTTTCCTTATCGGGCTTTGGATGTGCAAAGATAGGGGATCACACAGGAGTCGATAAAGAACAACATTAATCCAGGGATTAACGATTATTATGACAAAGACTAAAATAGGAGAAGCTGCACCCTGTCACACGTTCAACTGAGGGTCACTGATTTCACTAGATCGTAAATACATATTTGATATTATCAACACAAAGGCATGACACGCCACAAGCTGACACACTATTCAATATTACCTAATGCATCTTTCAATATTCATTCCATTATTCATAGCAATGGATTTAAAATGCTCAATGATGTGAATGGAGACCTCAAAATAAAACGGCTTTTAAAAATTGTACCTGTCTTGCTGCCAGACACCTCATTAAAACGCTGGATATATTGATGGACGAGGGAGAAACCTGGAAGAAATGACACAGTATCAGTTAGAAGAACATGATGCATGCTATGCTGTTGCTGCAGGACATTAAGTGCTAAGTAAATATACACAGTACGTGTCCAACGGAAACGGTTTGTTATTATCTGCCTCCGTGAAATTACAGGCTTCGTCCTGCAGGCATTTTTCAATATGCAGAAATGTTGGTCGGTGAATTTTGATTGATATCTTGATAGAGAAGAGACAGAGACAGGGAGAGGAGTAATGGAGTGAGAGACTGAACTTCAGAGTGGGCGTAGAGGCTGGAAGTGACCCAGTCAGGCATTGTGTGGAAAAAGGAAAGCTCATAGAGGCCTGAATAAACTGCAGCACGGAGAGGTCGAGGTAAAGTGCAGCAGGCAGGAAACCTTAATCCAGGGATGTTTTCTCCTCATCCTCAGTATATCACTGAAGCTGGAGAGAGAAGACCTTTACAGTCAACTGGCTTTTGAAGTGCCTGTCACTTGAGCAAACTCCAACTCGCATAGTCCTCATGAATTTTAAGAGTAAATAGAGATCCACATTGTGTGGTTGGAGTGAATATTTCTACTTTCATCTTTTACAAATGCCATGTCAACGGTCTTGCTATAATATCTTCAATTATATTTTCTTTAAACCTGCAAACAAGTTTTTTGTGGCCACTAGGGGGCAGTGGAAACCATTTTTGAACAAAACATTGACATGTATTCCCTTTTTAAGATTGAACTTCCTGGCAAACTGTGTATTATTTAAACATCCAGCCATTACATAGCAACACTATCATAAATATGAGTCACCTAATGAATGTTTAATCCAACTCAGCTCTGTTTTTGATCTCCGCTAACTACTTAAGAAAATATGTATTTTAGCTGATACAGTCAATGCTCCACTATGTTCACCAGCTGCAGGCAGTCTTTAACCGTATCCGTCTGCTGATAAGTGGTTAGTGTAAATCTATTTCACTGAAACACGCTTCCTAAAAAACAACCCTGCAGCCGAAAACAATGCTATGACATTGAGATTTAACCAAAACATTGAATTTATGGTCAATTAAACCATGTTTGAGCTTTTTTTGCCAAGGTCAAGCATGAGGAGCTAAAGATTCATGTGAAAATGAACTGTAAATGAATCCATACAGTACAAGCAAACTCTATTTTACATTATCACAGTTTTTTACGTATTTTGTTACATTATCCTAAAAATATAGATTATTGCTGCACACATTGTTCCAATGTTTATGTCACATCTTCAATATAATGAGATTAACATATATTATAACTGACAATTCCAAAGGAAGGAAGAACACTTTTTATACCTTACTATGAATATAAATAATATGGTCGTAGTCAGGCATTCATTATGTACATACAATAAATGTGAAAGGACTAGACTTTCAATTTGTGTTTCTAACTTGGTAATATTTCATAATGTTCCCCCATAAAGTCCTGTTGAAGCCTGAGCATTATTCACTTTGCTATCACAGCAACCACTTCATGTTTCAAAGCGTTTAAAGCCACTGTCTCAACGTCGCCATCCGTCAGTGTTTACAACATGGAGTGCTTTTCTACACGGCAACATCGTTTGTTGACTTCAGCAATATGTTATGTTTTGGCAGGATAATTGTAAACTAATTTTACGACACTTTTTTTGATTAACTTGGCCACAGTTTTACTGTATGTGCAAATGAAATGGATTTGCTGCTCACCTCAAAGCCGGAGCAGGATTTGATTACAGATTATCAATGTGAAATAGTATGATAAGACACAATTGTATTGAATGTTGCTTGTTCTAGTTCAACCAATGTACGTGGTACATGAGTTTCCTCTTTGTTATTATATCCGTTATTTTAGGATTCTTTTTGCCCTTACTACACAATAGAGAAA